CTTTTACCCACTCCTGATCATCTCTCTCTCTTCATTGTCAGCCCTGAAGACTTGTTGTTAGTTCTAGCTAAAAACCTCCATTCAGCACTGCTTATATGAATATAGGTGTAGGAATGACTGGCAGTGAAGTATCAGAAGCACTGTCAAGTTGGTCAAGACAGTGGGATTCTGTTTTATGAAACTGAATAAAAGATTGACATTTCACTATAACAGCTGGATGGATGGGTGGTTACGGGATGGATGGGGTCTACACCCCATCCATCCCGTAACCACCCCTCACCTTCCCAAGAAAATCCTTCCTTTTATGTCTCCATCCCTTTACACATGCCCCCTCCATCCCTCTATCCATCCATTCCCCACTTGTCCTATCCGTCCATTCATCCTTCCATCTGTCCATCCATCCCCACTTGCCCCTCCAGCCATCCCAACTTATCCCCTCCATCCATCCTCAAGGGCCCCCACTTCATCTTTCGACTTTTCCACACAGACAAGTTTGCTTTGCGGACTTGCTTGTCCATATACAAGGGGGAAAAAAGGGCTGGATACCAAGGTGGTGTTAATCATCCCAGCTTTAATGTAGTCACATGTGCAAAATGCATGGATGGTGCCCTGTGCTGGGATGTGGCTGGTAGTAGGATGAGGCATCGGGGGTTGGAGTACAGGATCCTTTGCCTGGCACTGAGATATGGCTCAGTCTGTGCTGGGGAAATCAGAGCTAGGGATACAAGGGCAATTTGGATTCCCTCTAGCAGCACTGAGAAGTGTCTTGCTACAGGGGTTAAACAAGGTGCCTTTCCCCAACTCTGAGATGTGTTTTTCCTCTGGGGTGGAGCAGAGCCAAAGACAGTTGTTCCACATGGAGATATTGTCTGACAGATCATGGCAAGCTAGGCAGGGAAGCCACATGCTGACATGGTACCTCTTGGTGGCAGGAGGCTGAAGATGATGGCCAGGGAGAGCAGGACAGTGAAGAGCAGGGAGATGACAGCCCAGTAGTATAGGGGACCTAGGTAGGGACACAGGGAGCAGCCCTCTGAAATGAGCTCTGAAGGAGAGAGAGACTAGCATTAGCACCCTGTGGCCCAAAGGGAATCACAGAACCATAGAGAAGTCATGGTTGAGGTCGGTCAGCCCTGTCCAAACCATCCCAAGCAAACCCATCATCTTTGTCAAACAATGTCAACCCTGACATAGAACAAGGCATCATATCCAAATCTGCCACAGGGAAAGCAGAGGGAACACAGCAGCCAATGTCCTGCTGCTTTAAAAGTTTGTTTCTAAACACTCAAAAGATCCCAGGGAGACACCATGTGCCCCATGACAGAGGAAGGCAACCCATCCCCAGTCTGTATCAATCTGAACAGGGGATAAACATCCTTCTTGACCTAATTCCCTGGTGGGTAGGAAAAGGGTGATGTGGAGGAGGATAGAAACCTGTGCTGGCAGCAGCTCCATGCTCTCCACTCTCTGAGCGGTGCTGTAGGGCCACTCAATTCAGCTTCCTCCTTCCCAGGAAGCATCACCCCCCAACCAGTGGCCTGTGCAAAGTTGTCTGGTCGGTTCCTGTGCGCTTGCTTCAGAAACAGGCAATAGATGTGGCCAGAGAAGGAGGAGATACTATGCATTCAAGGGTATGAAGGGTTGTTTACTTGATTGCAGAGCTGTGGGTATTGGTGGGAGGTGTTCATCCATATCCCGCCACTGCACATGCTCACCTATGTGTCCTGGCCCCCAGACTCCCTGCAACTGAGAAGGACTTGAGTTTGGAAACCCCACTTTGCTTTAGTATTTCACCAGACCATGGGGAAAATCAAGCAAGACAAGGCACATAGGGGGCATGCCAGGACTGTCAGCTTCCCTACTGTGGATGCTGAGTGCGTGCAGTACCAACTAGAAAAGCTAGACATTTGTAAGTCAGTGGGACCGGAGGGACTCCATCCGGGAGTGCTGAAGGAGCTGGCTCGGTCATCACGGGACCCCTGGCAAAACTCTTTCCTTATTCATGGTGCACTGGGGAGATCCCTGAGGATTGAAAGAGAACCAACATTGTGCCCATCTTGAAGAAGGGGAAGAGGGAGGATCCAGGCAACTATAGACCAATCAACCTAACCTCTATCCCAGGGATAATCCTGGAAAAGCTCATTAAAGAATCAGTGCAATATGCTCGTGGAAGGTAGGATTCTGAATGGCACGCAGCATAGCTTTGTCGCGGGTAAGTATTGCTTTACCAATCTCATCTCCTTCTACGACCAGGTCTCTTTCCACCTGGACATGGGAGACAAGGTAAGCATTATACACCTAGACTTCCAAAAGGCTTCTGATCTAGTATCCCATGATATCCTTGTGAGAAAAGTGGAAGACTGTGGGCTCAGCTACTCGACGGTTCAGTGGGTGGGAAGCTGGCTACAGGGTAGGACCCAGAGAGTTCTCATGAATGGATCCATGTCATCTTGGCAAGAAGTAGCCAATGGTGTCCCTCAGGGGTCTGTGCTTGGACTGGTGCTTTTCAACATCTTTATCAATGTTTTGGAGCGGGAAGTGAAAAGCTCATGGGCCAAGTTCATGGATGACACTAAGGTATGTAGCAGTGTGGTCACACCAGAAGATAGGTTGCAGATTCAAGCAGACCTGGACAGGCTTGAGAGTTGGACAGACTGGAATCAGATGAAGTTTAACACTTCCAAATGTAAGGTTATCCATCTGGGGGCAAATAACCCTCGACATACATACAGGCTCAGAGGTGACAGCCTGACTTGCACCACGGCTGAAAGGGACCTAGGGGTCATGACTGACCATTGCATGAACATCAGCCATTGGTGTGGACAGTAGAATAGGGATGATTCTGCGTTAGGCAGAGGATTAGAGTAGATGACCATTGGAGGTCCCTTCCAGCCCCACATCTCTATGACTATGACTCTGTGACATCTGGAGGTCCCTTCCAGCCCCACTTCCCTTCAATTCTGTGATCCAATGAAAAGAATCAACACCTGATATTGGCAGAGAATGAATGAATGAAACAAAAACCTGCTCCACTAACCAAGACTAAAATATTGTCAATGCATGATTGCCATCTAGGGGATAGTCACAGAAATAGCAGGAAAGAACTGAAACTGGAACAATCATTGCCAAGGTCCAGCAGCGGCTTCGAAGCAGCTGAACTGAGGGTATAAAAATCTGTAAAAAGTGTGTGTGCTTCAAGAAGAAGAAGAAGAAGGAAAGGAGAAGGAGAGGAAAAGGAAAGAAGAAGAAAACTCCTGTGCTGACACCATCCCCTGTCGTTCTTGGGACGCTGGAAGAACAGATCGTCTCTCTCTTCAAGGATTGTGCTACAGACTGTGCCTGTCAGCTTTGCAGCCGGAGTATCTTGGACTAGGTGAGAACCCAGCGCTCTCTCTCTTCTTTCTAGGCATAAACTTCTGAACCTGAACTGTATCAGTTAAGCTTGAGCTAAGTTTCCCCAAATACTTAGTGAAACCAGGGTAGTATTGTCATTGTTGGTGTTTGTTTTTCTCTTGCATGTCTATTACTACTAGTACTATTATATATTTCATATGCTTAGCAATGAATAACTTTTATAGTCAAACTGGTAGTAATTGGGTATATTTTTCCTTCTCTGCTTCTCTTTCCTCCCATGTTCTGCAGCAACGCTTCTTTTACCTAAGCTAAAGATCCCTGTGAAGCCCAAAAATATTGTGGGGTCTGCTCATCAAGAGGCCGAAGATTGGGACGTGCTGAGTTTGAAACACATAAGGGGATCAGCTTGTACAGGCCAATTGACCCAGTTTGACTCAGACGTGCCCTTATGGACTGAATGCTGGCCCATGAGGGTGTCAGCTGGACACCCAGCCGGATTCAGAGGGGTTCTGTTCACCTGTGTGCTTGTGTCTGACTGCAGTGAATTGTTGCTCTGATGAACTGATTCTTGGCATATGAGGGGGTCAGCCTGTCCATGCTGATCAGCCCAGCCAGGTCAGGCGTGTCACGTTAATTTGTGTGTGTTTGTGTGTATGACTGATTCGGTGTCTGGAGGAACCCAGTCCCATTGAGATTGAGTCCTGCAAGATAACTCCACTGGGGGTGAGGGCTTGCAGAAGGGAGAGATACAGCTCCGTATAGTAACACAAGCTCCGTATAGTAACACAAGACCCTAGAAACTATCCCTAATAAATGAGCACACCCCAAAGTAACGGGCAAATTTGGTAACAACTTCCATGGGCAGATCTAGGATGTTGAGGATGAGGATGTGCACTCTGGACACAGACTTAAGTATGTTATTATTCTAGATCCTTCAGGATTTCAAGCAGGCATGTAGGCAAGTCAGAGTTAGAATGAAGCACTGGGCCTCCTTCCCCCCTCCCTGCACCACTGAGCGGGCAGGCTCCACTGAAGGAAAAAAAAAATGAGGTGAGGGGCCTGATCCTTTTTCTCCCCCACCAGAGCCGGAGCCGCAGGGGCCCCCAGTGCTTCCCTTCACAGCGGTGGTGTCCACTGGGGCTGCCTGGCTGGGGTGCCAGTGGGTGGGAGCTGCCCAAAGAGCACTGCCCCCGCAAGGGGAAGCACCGGGGTCCCCACAGCTCAGGGGCCACACGACCTGCTGGCAGCTTGCTCCCCAGACATGGGAGACCCAGGAAGGCTCCAGGACAAAAAAGAAAAAAGATCAGGCTCCTTGTTGTTTTTTGGGAGGGTTTTCTCGGTGGAGCCTGGTCACACAAGCTGCCACCAGGCCATGCAGCCTTTGAGCTGCAGTGCTTCCTTCCATGGTGGCAATGCCCTCCCCCCCAGGGCTGCGTGGGGGCAGCCCCAGCTTGCAGGCAAGCACCCCCCGGATCCAACGGTGCATGGGGCACTGGAAGCCTGGGTGTGCTTAGGGAAGCTTGGGCTTGGCGGGTCACTGAGATGGGACCCTGGGCAAAACTCAGCCCTTTGCATTAGAGATCCCCTCAGGTTTATATCACAACAGCATACAGAGCTTAAAATCTGAAGCTTCCTGTTTTCAGGACCCTATCTTAAAGCAGTGTGCAGGGAACAGAAGTCATTTTGAAACCAAAAGCCCAGCTGCAAACAGTTTCTCATTGGAGTCCTCTATTGCCACCCTAGAAAAGAGAGAGGAATCTGCAAAGCTCCTGACCCCATGCAGGTAAGTAAAGGACATTTCTAATGCCTTTCTCTTCCTAATCTCCTCCTCCCCGCCTCCTCCTCCCCCTCCTCCCCCCACACACATACCTCCCACCGCTCACTTCATGCTTTAGTTCCTTCAGAGATCAGGGACTTCTATAAATATGAATACTCTCATATTTATGGAAGTGTTAGGATTTTAGGCCTCTCACAGCCTCCCCACCTCCCCCCAAAGTAGCTTGAGGGTCTGGTCAACTCAGAAACATTGGGTGTTGGCTGCAGTCACTGGGTGGTGACTGAATTGTGCCAGTGCTCCTGCTGGGACTCAAGGCTGGAGGGACCTGGCTAGAGGTCTTCTCCCCCTGCTCAGGGGCAGCCCAATTGCTGCATTTGGGGGCAGGAAAGAACTTCCCTGCCACGCTCAGATTGGTATGGGGTAGTGGGCTGGGGTGCTGCTCTGCATAGTCTCCTTCTTGAATCTGTTGAGTGTATCTTAACCCCTATGGTGGTGGGACGCTGCCAGCCCTTGTCTGCTTGCTTTATGTGAGTCAGGTCCAGGGGACTCGGGGTATCTTTGGTCAATGGACCCTGGAGATGTGTGACAGGGTTGCTGTGTTGTTTTAGAATTAGATTAGACAAGCACGTGACTGGGATGATTTGGATGGGGAACCGTCCTGCCTGTAGCAGAGGGCTGGCTTAGACGTGGTCTCCTGACAGTCCTGCTGGTCTGACTTTGTCAGGATTCTAATATTGGCTTCATTTTGACTATTTTTTTTTAATATTCAAACACAGAAATAAATCTCCAATATGGCACTAACCTGCAGGAAATGCATCAGGTTGGAGTTATCCTATCTTGGCAAAGAAACTAATATGCAATGAGTCTTATAACTTATCTCACTTTAAAGTTTATGTACATTAATATTCAGGCCACCTAGCACAATACTCTCTCTTACAGGCTAGTGGTTACATTATGTTATGTTTAACATTATACACATACACACACACACACACACACGTTTAACATAACGATAGATAGATAGATAGATAGATAGATAGATAGATAGATAGATATCTCTATATATAGCGAGAGATTTATTTATTTTATTTATTGGTGTGTATCTTGGATGGATGGATGGATGGATGGATGGATGGAGAGAAATCTGTAAATCTATAGACAGAGATGTGTAAATGTATAGAGGGAGGAAAAGAGATCTATGAATGTGAAGGGAATAAGAGATCTATAAATATAGAGAGAGAAAGCTATAAATAAGGATCTAAAAATATATATAGAGAGAGGGGTATCTATAAATATATAGAGGGGAATGGAAAGAGATCTTTATGTAGAGAATAAGTTATCTATAAATACATAGAGAAAGAAATCTATAAATATGATCTGTAAAAAAAATTATATATATATATATGAGAGAGAGATCCCTCTATATATAACGATATATGTAAATAGATAGATCTATAAATATATAGAGACATCTGTGAATATATATTGAAAGAGATAGATCTTTCAATATATCGAGAGATAAACAGCTTAATAGATTCATAGATTGTAAGGTTGGAAGGGACCTTGGAAGATCATCGGGTCCAGCTCTCTGCACCAGGCAGGAAAGACAGATGGGGTCAGGTGACCCCAGCAAGATGACTGTCCGGTCTCCTTTTGAAGATTTCCAGGGTAGACGATTGCACCTTTTCTGGAGGGAGCTTGTTCCACAGCCAACAGAGTCGCACTGCCAGTTCAGAGTCTTGCAGTGGCCTATTATTACCCCCAGGTCTCTTTCATTCGTAGTGCTGGTCAACACACATAAATTGATTGGGATATGCATTCATTTGCTATATCATGCATTATTATTAAAGGCCCACAATGAACTGGGCAAAAAATAGTCAAGAGATGTTGTTTCTTTAGTCCTGTAGCCATCAGAATTAAATGGACTGCTCTTTCAGGTTTATCAAGTCCAGCCTTCTTGAACAGTGCATCCAATGCTTCCCTGAAAGGTAGTTCCACACCTGAACTAATGTTTTTACTTAGAGTTAGAAACAGTCTCCAAGGCTATGAAACAGGAACCATGTAAACATGAGCTGCTAATGGCAGAACTGCAGAAGAAAGGCTAGCTCTATTAGTGAAAGATCAAGACCATTAGAAAGGAAAAGATGGTCATTAACACCGGTGGCGGTGAGTATGGAGAGATCTGTGTACTCTGTGAGGACCACTGCCTTTGTTTCCAGCTGTAGGAAGAAGTGGAATACTTGCTTTAAACAATCTGCTGTATCCCCCCTTCTCCACCCCTTCTGGGAGCTCTCTTTTATTCCTCCTTCTTCACACAATCCTAGAAAATGAGGGTTGGAAGGGACCTCAGGAAGTCATGTAGTCCAACCCCCTGCTCTAAGTAGGACCAGCCCCAACTATCTCATCCCAGCCAAGGTTTTGTCTACCCAGGTCTTCAAAACCTCTGAGGATGGAGACTCCACCACCTCTCAGGGTAGCTTGTTTCAGGACTTTACTACCCTCCTTGTGAGAGAGTTTTTTTCCCTAATATCTAACTTCAGCTTCCCTTGCTGGAACCTAAGACCGTTGCTCCTTGTTCTGTCGTCTGCCCCCACTGAGGACCGTCCAGCTCCATCCCCTTTGCAACCCCCCTGTAGGGAGTTGAAGGCTGCTATTAAGTCCCCTCTCAGTTTTCTCTTCTCTAGGTTCCCTTCCTAACCTGTAGAGAAAGTACAGTTTTGTGCTCTTAAAATGCCTTCCTTAGGATGTTGAACCCACCCCAGCTGAGCTCAGAGGACCCCTCCCCCAGACCCTGCTTTCAGTTCTTTGCACTGACTGGAAACAAACCACATCCCTTCCTGCCCTACCAAGTGCTTTCACAGTATCGGAGTCCCCCTCTAAATGCAAAACACACCAGCTCAGCACAGCAGCCCTGTTGCAGTATCATGAGATGTCTTAGGCTCATATGAAAGACGGGTTGGAAGAGACCTCACGGGGGCACATCTACTCAAGGCAGGACTGACTCTGACTCAGCCAGCCCAAGCAAGGGTCTGTCCAACCGGCTTTCGGACACTGCCAGGGATGGAGACTCCATCACCTCTCTGTGCAGCCCGTTGCAGTGCTTGACCCCCCCACTTTCCCTCCCAGAGTCACAAATCCCCCATCATCTCCAACCTCAATTTCCCCTGTTGCAACGTGAAGCCATTGCTCCTAGTCCTGTCCACTATGGCCACAGGAAAAAAAAGCCCATCTCCATCCTCTCTGTCATTGTCCTTCAGGGATTTGAAGGCTGTGATCAAACCCCTCCTTCAGTCTTCTCCCCTCCAGAATAAATAACCCTATTTTTTTCAGCCTTTCTTCATCAGGCTTGCTTCCCACACCCCTAAGCATTGTTGTTGCTCCACACTGGACTCTTTCCAATGTGTCCACATCCTTCTTGATGTGTGGAGCCCAAAACTGGACCCAGGACTCCAGGGGAGGCTTCCACAGTGCTGAATAGATTGGGAGAATCATTTCCCTTGATTTTGCAGAGACATCCTCTTCCTGAGGGGCCAGGATTACCTAGGGGAACTGCTTTGGGGAAATTGTTATGCCCCCCTGCAGTATAATGAAGGGCCATATTCCCACCCCAGAAGGGGCCACATCCCAGCACAGGACCCGAGAGGTCTCTGAGGGGCTCCAATATGGGGTCACCCTGATGGCTACAGAGGACCAACTCACAGAATCATAATAAATTCTAGTTCAGGGGTCGGCAACCCCCGGCATGCATGCCGAGCATGGCATACAAGGACATTTTGCTCAGCATGCCACAGCCAGCCCTGGGGCAGGCTGCACTGCCCTGCTGTCTGTCCCAAGGTGCCGGTGCAGTTGCCACCAGCACAGAGCTGATGCTGGAGCTGTGGAGCGTGGCACAGCTGTTTGCAGCCTGTCCCCTGCCTGCTGCAGCTGCCCAGAGCCTGGGCTGGCTACAAACAGCTGCGCTGGGCTCCGGAAACCTGCCATCACCTGCGTACCGGGAGCGGGGGAAAGACCAGGGCTGCGTTGCCTCAGGCCCCCCTCCCACCACCCACTCCAATGCACGGGTGCACACATTGGTGCGGAGCTGATGCCGGAGCCCAGCACAGCTGTTAGGAGCCTCCCGGCTGCAGCTGGCCCCAGCTCTGGAGAGCTGCTGCCCGCCGGGAGCCCAGGCTGCTCCCAGCAGGTGGCTGGGATGGTGCAAGCCCTGCTTGGAGCAGCCCAGGCTCCAGCAGCTACCCAGAGTCGGGGTAGCTGCTGGCA